TACGTATATTTCCCCCCCTCTGGTCTATGCATCCCTGCCTCTGCTGAATTATTTTTTACTGGGGATAAAAACATCCCGCGAACCAGCTCCGACGTCCCGATCTAAATCAAATGATTCACGATACACACTTTGAAGTCCCGATCTGAATCAAATGATTCGTGATACGCGAGCCGATTGAAGCGCTTCGAAACAATGAATCATTTTGCGACGCAATGGTTTAACTGATTCGGAGTTTCAAAAAGCTCCGTTGTGTTCTTTGCACGCTTTCTCTATATAATTTATTCGTTGAATAATGTTCTTTTTAGCAGCATCATATGACCCCTTTAACAATTTAAAATAGAAAAGGCACCTGTTTGACAATCTTAAGGCCAATTCACACTGCACCAACAGACGCCGACAAATGGCAACAGACACGCTCGTCAGGTTTTGTCTGATCAGTGTGTTATGCCTGTCAGTGTCTGTTGTCATTGGTTGGTGCTTGAACATGTTGTGTCAGCATTTGTCTTGGACTGTCTGAGAAGTGACGAACTGCACTCGTTGGTCTGCGTCTGTTGGTGCATTGTGAATTAGCCTTTAGCCACCAAGACGTTCTTGTATATCCAGAATCACCCGAAAAAACATGCTGAACCAGTTTTACCATTTTTTTACTGGTGACATGGCCATACCACTTTCAAAAGCATCCCCCCCTGTTTTTTTTCACAAATCGCACCCTGTATATACAGTATATATATATGTGTGTGTGTGTGTGTGTGTGTATACATATATACATATATATATATATACAGTGGGTACGGAAAGTATACAGACCCCCTTAAATTTTTCACTCTTTGTTATATTGCAGACATTTGCTAAAATCATTTAAGTTAATTTTTTTTCCTCATTAATGTACACACAGCACCCCAGTGCACCAGTTAGACAAGTACTAAAAAAACCACTGAAAAACGCTGGAAAAACACTGAAATTCATAGTAGTGTGAAGTGCTCTTTCTCGAAGTTTGCAGGTTGCCTGTTGACTTAAAAAATGTTAATATGTAAATGTATAATTGCAAGGTAGAATACTATTATTTAAGAATATAAGCATTTAGTTCCAGTTTTAGCACAATCAGCCATTTTTGATCACAATCACTAGCTAACAATCACTTTTTGTGTCCTGGAGTTTGTGAGATTGCTCACAACTCCAGAGATGTATACCTGCACTCTTTTGTTTATCTGTTAGTACGTCCACAAGTTCGTAATTTGAGATTCAGTCACATCATTAAAATACCTGTAGGTTCTTTATACTCACTACTGTATAGACTGCAGAAAAAACACTAAGGGCCGCATCTTTGGAGGGAAAGGATTTCCGTGCAGATGCTACTATGAGGGGGTTTCCTGTGCAGGCTTTGCGCTCTGTGATGTACTGTAGGTTGGAATGGCAGCCCAGTGCTGTGTAGTTTGGTCTGCACGCTGATAGGAAGTGAGGCGTCTGGTTTCCTGTTACTACCTGTCCGGCACTGGCAAAGATGGTGGTGGTGAACACGCCGAAGGTATAGACACCTGAGTGACAGCACAGACACCAAAGAACGAATGTAAAACGTGTAAAAATTGGGGCTGCTGATAGATTGGAGACCTTATCTATATTGAAAATAAAATAAAATAAATTATATTTACAATATTGGCTACCATATTCATTATTGGTCATAAAAAATCTAATTAAATACAACTTTATAATACTGGCTATTATATTCATTATTGGTCATAAAATAAAATAACTTTATAATATTGGTCATATTCGCTACTGGTCATGAAATAAAATACAGTACAATAAAAACAACTGTATAACACTGGCCTTAATATTCACATTGGTCATGAAATAGAATAGAATAAATAATTGTCCATAATATTGATTATTGGTCATAAAATATTGTGTTTGGTTATTGACATAAAAGTCAAATATGCAGCAGTGTCTAACCATGTCACATGCTATACTTCATCTGAAATTATTATAAAGATTATTTTTTAAATAATTGTCCATTTATTATACATTCAATTCTTATGAGCTAGTATTAACTGAGAAACAAGCTGAAATATTTGTAATTTTATTACAAATTACATTACATTTTAAAACCTAAATTCCTAATGTAAAAAAAAAAAAATCCACAAACTGTATATTATGACTTTAATATCAGTTTGTGGCATTAAAATGGCTTTTAAGGCCAAAGTATACTTCAAGTTTACACGTGCGCGAGGGTCCGTGTACAGTGCATATGACACAAATTTCATCACCAGAACAGTACGCGCACCGTCGCACATGTGGGGGTTATGAGAGAGTCGCAACTTTAGATTAAAAGAGTTCAAAGTCTTTTTTTTTTATTATTGATCATAACTTCTGGAGAAAAATAGCACAGACACTGGACTAAGATGAACATTTCTAGAGCACATGTGTCGACCGCCTGTGTTCACACACGCTATCAAATGTGACCCTGGAGCACAAAACCAGTCTTAAGTCGCTGGGGTATATTTGTAGCAATAGCCAAAAATACATTGTATGGGTCAAAATAATTGATTTTTCTTTCATGCCAAAAATCATTAGGATATTAAGTAAAGATCATGTTCCATGAAGATATTTTGTAAATTTCCTACCGTAAACATCTCAAACCTTAATTTTTCATTAGTAATATGCATTGCTAAGAACTTCATCTGGACAACTTTAAAGGCGATTTTCTCAATATTTAGATTTTTTTGCACCCTCAGATTCCAGATTTTCAAATAGTTGTATCTCGACCAAATATGGTCCCATCCTAACAAACCATACATCAATGGAAAGCTTATTGACACTTAAGACTGGTTTTGTGGTCCAGGGTCACAAATGGAGTATACTTTGAAAGGCTACGTGTTCAACTCTACGGTACACATGCAAAAACAAAGTATACTTTGGGCTTTATGCTTTTGATGCATTTGAAATATAATCAGGATCATAAAAAAAAAAACAATTTCTTTGAAATTTTTGTATTTGAGCTTTAGATCCTAGAGTTCTCTTCCTAAAAGGTTCATTTTTAGTTCCTTATGACATCACTCATATCATCATCTTCAGTGAATGCTGATGTACCTAGGAAGCGTATGATGCGTCTCAGCAGAGGGTTGAAGTAACAGCAGTCGGCTGTGACTATGGTCTTCTCCTGCATGCCCTCCGACCTCATGAAAAACACCATCACCTCGCCAGCCAGAATCTGAGGAAGAAAAAACAACAACGAATGAAACAAACAGTAGCTGCCAAAACATCCACCACCCCATTTGTTTGGGCATTATTGATGCTCCATTTGGTTGAAATCCGAGTGCGGGAAACATGCGCCTACTCATGCTAAGCAGGCATTTCCAAAATCACGAGTCGCTAATAGTCCCTCATTTTCACTGTTCTCATATGCCAACACCAGAACCTCATTATTTCTGATCTCCCTGGTTACTGTTAAGATGAGTAACAGCTCATCAACGTGACTAATTCTCCTTTGCAATGTAAGAGATGTGCACACATCACTTCTTTATGCGTTTAAATACTCATACTGTGAGTGAATATGTCTCCTTTGCATTGAAAATAGTAATGTAGTAGTCGTAAATGGTAGAAGCTAAAAACCATGAACAAAACTATGCAAGGTAAAAGAAAATACCTAAATTACATTAAATACAGGTTCACTTGCAATAAACATGGTTTGTGTCGACCACAATGCGTTTTGAGCAAAGTATTCATGGCTTAGAGCATGAAACCATAAAAATTCAAAAGACGTTTATAAATCAAACAAAAACCAAAGAGGAGACTGGGAGAGAAAACTTTTTAAAAGACAATTTTTGTTTTAATGTGTATAATAATTTGGGATGTCCAGTATACTGGAGACCATATTTGTACTGAAAATAAAATAAAAATTAATAATAAAATACACAAATTACAAAGAATGTAAAACAAAAAAGTGAGTAACGCTGTTAAAAAAAAAACACAAGAAGTGATGGATGGGATGAGATGCATAAGACGAAAATAAATTAAAATATGAAGATTATTCAAATAAATTATGAAGAATGTAAAATTTAAAAAAAGTGAGTAACACTTGAGGTCATGTTAGAATTTTTTTTTTGCATGGGATGTGATGCATGAGAAAAAATAAAAAAATTGAATTAAATTGAATTAAAAAAAAAAAAAATACTTGGGACAGGATGCATGAAAATTTAAATATAGTACGCTGAAATAATAAAGACAATGTTATATAACTAAAAAAGTGAGTAACTAAAACTGCTCATTCCATGTTGTTGAGATGTGAAAAAAGTGAAGTAACACTGAAAGTTGTGTTAAAAGATTGCATGGGATGTCTAAAAAATTAAATTAAATTGAATTAAAAAAAAATAAATACTTGGGACAGGATGCATAAAAATTTAAATATAGTACGCTGAAATAATAAAGACAATGTTATATAACTAAAAAAGTGAGTAACTAAAACTGCTCATTCCATGTTGTTGAGATGTGAAAAAAGTGAAGTAACACTGAAAGTTGTGTTAAAAGATTGCATGGGATGTCCAATATATTGGAGACCATAACTGTACTGAAAATAAAATAAAATAATATAAAATAAAATACACTCAAATTATAAAGACAATGTATAACTAAAAAAGCGAGTATCACTAAAAGTAATGCAAAAAAAATTTTATGTTATCGAAATATCATATTATCGGAATTTCAATTTACTTGAATATGATAAATAATTTTAGTACTGTGTTGGGTCACCACTTAATGATCAATGTAAAAACAAAACAAAGTGAGAACCACTAAACTAAACATCTGAGCTATAATGCTATACAAGTGCTTCCCTGGCAGTGATAGAAGAACCAGAGACCATAAACACGACATCAAATCCATTACCTTCAACTCAAAGAGACAGAGAGAGACGTCAGAGAGGGACAGGGACACGGCATTCACCTCACACATTTCCCAGTTTAGCACCTGACCGCTGACACAGACTGACAGAGTGTGACATCAGTCATGCGCGCACACACACAGCAAATGATCAACACACACTCAGTCCATATGACTCATGCACCAAGAGAAAGTTTGGAGGGGTCGTAGTGATATAGTAAGGGTGACTGCATTTCCATTTTTGGGTGAATTACTTTGTTAAAAGCCGACTGTGATGATGTTGTGAATTGAGGATGTGCGTCTAATACTGTGTGTGTTTTGGCGAGACTGTGAACATCAGTTCAAGAGTGAATAATGCACCATTAGATGAGATAAAGCTGCGTTTCTAGATCCTTTCTATCAGCTTTCAGTCTGTCATGGATGATTAGGCTCATATGTTTCTCATATAAATATATAATAATATAAAGCAGATCTCAACACCACAATGACTCCCAAATGGGGGCAGGAAAGGGTCAAAGGCAGGATATGATATCTAAACCCCACCCTACAATTTGATACAAATTAAATATGAAACTTTAAAGTAAATTATCTGAAAAAAAAAAGGAAAACAAAACATCCTCCTCTATTAAAATAGATGATCAATAGATTGATCAATTTAATGCATCCTTGCTAAATAAAAGTATTAATTTCTTTCAAATAAAAAATAACCATAACACAAAAATCAGACAGTCAAGCGATGGTTGTGTGATGAAACAGAATGAAAGCCTAGAGGCCTGACGCTGCTGCTTTACCGCGTTTCATCTCCTCTCTTATCGCGACGCAAAACAGATCATGAACCGACTCTTTCCTGAGGCGGCGAGTGGACATTCATGCCACGACAGAGAGGTGCACAGTTCAGGCATATGTTGAAATGCCAGCGCGTTCCCACCTCGAGCAGCCGGTGCCATCTGCTGCAGTTTCTCAGGTGGCATCGCTGTGCATCTCCACACTCTCCAATCCTCCCTCTGGCCATCAAAAGCTTATATTTAGGCTGTTTTCATGCAATTTACACCTCGAGTCATGCTGAAACATAAAGCAGTTTTATGTGGCTGATAAATGAATGTGTGGCGATCTAGTGAACTAATGCACGAGCAGAGCACTAACATCCTCAAAATAGTTATACCTCAAGATATGAAAGCACATAACTCAAAATATTCTGATAAAACAGTTCAGGTTACCACCTTGTCAGTTTTTGGAAGTATTATGGCAAACTGAAAATCTAAATGATTTTAAGAGACTACAATGTTCTTTCTTTATGTTTGTTTGATCACAAGACTATATGGTGCATATGTCTTTTATGCTGTCATGTCGCTTTTTTGCCATTTTTGGAGCTTGATAGCCATGTGTTAATTGTATGTGAAAAAGAAGAACTGGTCCTTTAACTCTATAAAGCCTAATGTATCATATTTAAAGGCCTCTAAATCATTAGCACGATCAAAACTTTGCTTAAAACCCTGTTGCACAAAATCTACAACATGCCTTCAGTCGTCTGATTGATAGTTTATACTTTTTTTTAGCAAGTTGCTGTAGGTCTCTTGGTCGCCTCTCTGAGCAGTTTCCTCCTGGCTCTTTCGTCCAGTTTGGAGTGACGTCCTGATGCAGGGAGGGTCTGTGTTGTACCAAATACCTTACATTTCTTAATAATAGACTTCACTGTGCTTTTAGGCATTGATAAAGGCTTATGACATTTTTTTGTTTCCATCTCCTGACTTGTGCCTGTCCACAACTTTATCCCGGAGTTCTTTTGACAGTGCCTTGCCACACATAGTCGATTGTTTGTTTCAGTTAAGGACTGAAATGCTCCAGGACAGCTCTTTTCATGCTGAGCTAATAAAAATGACAGCTGATCACAGTTGAAAGTCAAATGGCTTTGTGTGCCATTGAGAAGGTGATTAGATACACCAGGACTTAAAGCATGTTTATTACACATTTTGGAAGACACAACAAATTAATAGAAAAGAAATTATGTATCAATATTCCTGTTAAATATTAGATATTATTATGAAAATCTTGCTATGAAAATGAAAGTCTTTATATAAAGTTTGGTATAAAAAATTAAAATTGATTTGTGATTAAAACAAAAATCCCACTGTTTTTGCCTTTTCATGTCTATTCATGTCTTTTTATTTCTTAAAAAAAACAGGACTTTTTAAAGTCCCGATGTCTTCTACAGAGGACATGGCATAACATATGAATAAAATATAATTTTT